ACAGAACATGTATAGAAACAGAATAGCCAGCATTTGTAGTTCTGGGGACAAGGTGGGGGAGGGGGGGACGCGGTGGACCCGTTCAAATCCAGTTTTGGACAGTCTGCCGTGATTCCATCCCATTTCAAGTGCTGTTCGAGAATCGGCGTAACCCTCGGAGCACACTCTCCAATCACAGAGCTTGAGGACTATCACGGGGTTTGTCAAACAGAGCACATGGTGTAGTCCAAACGATAGCTGGGGATTCTGGGTAGTGTAGTGTCTTCTGCCATCCTTGACTCCGAAAAAACATTTGTTTCACCGAATCGAAGCGGAAAAATACAAAAGCATTGCACACAATTTAAACCAATCAATGTTGTGTAATTAACAAGGATAATCTGGTGTTTTTTAGTCGATGAGTAGTGCAGATATCACTGTAAAATCAATCGACAGTAAGGGGAATACTTACTTCCGGGTGTACAATTCTCCGTTATCCAATGAGAATGGACGCTCACATTGCCTTTAAGGGCAGCCGACACAAACGAATGCCGTGCTTCCATGAGCGTCCATAGAAGCATATGGACATCCCGGAAAGCTGAAAATGGACGCTAAGGGCCCCCCCCCTTGCGTTGAAAATGGACGCTAAGGCCCCCCCCCTTGCGTTGGAAAAAGCCGACAGGGGACTTGACATAACGTCAACATAGGCCGATCTGGGAGTGAGGATGTGTTGGTTTGGAAGTAAAACAGCATCAGTTTTTCAATCACAACAACATCTAATTTAAACTGCTCTCCACATCCTGACACTGAGCAAAATTGACAGACACTTCCATCCCGTTATAGATAATTTCATGTCGTGATAACAACATATATCATGATGAAGCATGTTTCCAGCTAATTTTATGTATGGAACTTAATACATCATTCAGTACCATTTTTTACAAGGAAGTCCCTTTAAGATATCAAATATCTTCTACAACAGAGACCTGGCAACGTAGCAGTAATACAAACACAATAAAATACATTACATATAGCCTATTACATTACATTTCACTTAGCTGATGCTTTTATCCAAAGTGACATACAACCATGAATATGAATAACAAACTAAGAAAAAGGAAGAATCTTGCAGGTGCATTAGCTTTCCATTAGCTGTATCATTGCTACGTACAACATTCAACATTCAACATAAAGAACATTATATAAACAAATGACTAGCAAATAACTTTGTTTAAAGAGTGCACAGTAAAAGGGAAAATAGAGAAGAGTTCCAGTTACATTATGATAAAGACTTGTTTTGGTCGTTTTGACGATATGTATGGTCATATCGGCAAACCATATAGCCTACCGCCTCCTAACCTTCCCTTGATTTGACCACAGGAAACTGCGCATGCATGCATCTTTGCAGAGGAGCGCAGAGCCTTTAATATTATTTCTCTCTTTCGATTCTTTGCCTCTGACAGCTTTTAACTGACTTGTCTTGCCGGGCTTGTGCTGGCCTGTTGAATCCAGACACAGGCCGGTGCACGCTGTGACATCTCCACTCCCCTCAGAGCTGCTGCATTCATCCAATTCACCATGAAAGGGAATCCTGACAGGCCCATAATATGACCCCCGGTTGTCTCCATTGAGCACGGTCGACAACTCAGCGGCCGGGCTTCACACACACACACAACCAGTTGGCTATTTTCAGAGGCCCACTGGCCGCCTGCTGCCCCTCGATAAGAGTAAGACCCATCGCCCAGGGTGAGAGTGGACAGCTCCATCTGGCTGCATTTTTAGTGAAGAGTGCCCTCTGGTGTTTCTGAGGGCGCAGCACACTAAACGCAGCCAAGAGAGTGGTGAACAGTGTAATCAGGGGGTGGCTTTACCCACACAGATTACAGCAGTGTTTCCTCTGATTTCATGCAGCGTCTGTGCTTTGGGTGATTTTGTTGTTCTTTTGGTTCCACATCCATCCACCTGTCAGTCACACTTATCTTTCTAATGCAGGCGACTGCAGCCAGGATATTTTTTCTTCAGATATTTTATCTCAATGAAAACATGATTTGTCAGCTCTAAGCCTGCACCTCCATTTGTTTTGAAGGGAAATATATTATTTAAAGCTATTTAAAGTCACTTTTCGTACAGTGTTGACGCCTCGTTGAATAATGAGAAATCAACGCTGTGCAGCCTCATTATAATCAAGTCCTAAGTTTCGGACTCATGGGAAGAAACTTGAAAGTAATTGGTCCCTTGGTGTATGACTATCACTGATTTACATTTTAACTTTTCTTTTTAAAGTCCAGAGATCACATAACATTACCCTTTCTAGGAAATGATCGAATAAAGTTAAATATGTTCATTTACTTTCCCTAACACAAAAGATAACGACACAAAAATGTGAGCATTGGTGAAAAAACCTCACCAAATCCAACAGTTTTTACAAATTATAAAGTCCCACACGCTACTGCCTTTCCCCAAACCCTTATGTTGTGTTCGTGTCTCCCCCCGTGACCCGTTTCAAGTTAAAATTATATAATAACTACGCTCTAGTTTTCGTATCGGAACAAGGCATCATGATATCCTCCACAACAGCTATATAAACACTACAAAACTGATTTTGAAAATGTTTGCCACGTGTGAAAAAAAGTGTATAATTTGGTGTTCGGGTCTGGGGAGACCCAGCAGAACAGTTTGGGTGACTCGAGGTCAAATTTGGCCCAATCAAGATTCATCTTTGACTTTAGAGACCCCTCCCCCACCCCCTTCATCCACTGTAACAATCATTTTTCGCAACATGCACCTGGTCTCCCCGCCCTCTTCCCCCCTCCCCCCACGGGAACTCGACCTTTCTCAAAGTATATGTACACTAACACTTGAACCTGAACACACACATGCACGTGTGCACTATGTGGTGTGATGTGTTTTGGGCCATAACATTAAATTACAACAGGATTGTACGGTTATGAATGCATTATAAGTTAGTTATGATGTAGTTAAAACTATATTGGATGATAGTCATTATTTTGGAGTGTTTTGGACTGAGATAAATCATGGGTCAAAATTGACCGCGAACACCATGAACGGTAACAGCTTTCGAACACAACACAAGGGTTAAAGATATCAACAAATGAAATGAATAATATGCTACGGGCAACAACAGCATCCCTGTAGCTCTGAATACTGAATATTGGCAGAAAATTCCTGCATCTTCAATTAAAAAAACAAATATTTCTTGTTTCTTTCCATGTGTGAGAGACGGTATAGAGGGCAGGAATGGAGCAAGAAACAGTGAAGCAGATTCACCATTATTCACCCGACTGTGTTTGTGTGTTAGAGGGCAGCTCCCAATTGTTCATGGTCAGTGTGTGTGTCATTTTTTTGGAGAGTGACAAATTGTGGCCCTCTGCTCTGAGATAGAGGCACCGACTGTATAGCCTGCATAATACATGAGGAGTGGGAGATATGGTGTCTGCCATCATCACAAAGCTACAGTCAGCATGTCGAGAGGCTCGTACATTTCTCCATCTGCAAACAGAAACTGATGCACAGAAAACAGAGGCATGGTGCAAAATAATGATAATATTAAGTGTTCTAAATAAGAAGCTTGATTTGTGATGGGGTTAGAAATAAACAAACTAATTTTAACCTAAATGAAAAGAATACAATTAATATTTCCTAGTATGTTAAGACAATTAAACACAATCTGTATTCCTTATGACATTTTTTCACAATTTAGCATAGTTGGTTATGTTATCGTAGAGAAACAGCGCACTCTTGGTGTGAAAGCAGACACATATTCAACATTTTCATTCAATGCTGCTCCAAACTTTCTTTTTGTATTCATTATCTATGCGGTATTCAGATTGAAATGATAAAAGTGCAATCATTTTCTGACAAAAGCATAAAGCTCCTTCTATTTTCATCATCCAAGTCTGCCCACTTCAGTTGCCAGGGTTGATTCTTGTACCATTTCTAATCTAATTCTTTAATATATCTCGTCTTTTATTTCTTTAAAAGAATGAATACATCTCTGAAATGAAACACACATAAAATGTTTTATTCAGGAGGAATAACTGTATCAGCTTGCACCTCCAAAACACTCCCTAAGCTAATCTTTATCATTATTGTGTTATTATTATTATGTTATTGTGGTGCAGAGTGAGTTGGAGATATTTAATTTCATTACCGAGGTTATGTTTTCCGCTGGGTTTATTTGTTTGTCTGCAGGATCACAGAAACACTTCGGGCCTCATTGTTATGAAACTTGGTGAAAGTGTGCGACAGGGATCAAGGGAACAGCTGTTCAATTTCGGAGCTGATCTGAATCACGTGTCAGATATACCGATTATTTTTCACTTTTGTTAACATTGCAAGATAGGGCAACTGTGAAGCATTCATGTAGGGTCAGATTCATTGGAAAAAAAGATTTCCCGACGATGAAGAATCATGATAACGTTCTTCAAATCGGATTAATAGCTTATAAAAGCATGTTGTTTTAACAAGAGCAATACAAAACATCTTCTTCATAGATACACATGTATGTCGTATCCACAATAAGACCTAAGAACACAATTTAAAAAAGCACCTGAATGCACCATTGGTCTTGAAGGAGGTCTGCACTTGTCATTCTAGTTATTAAATTAAACATGTAATGTAAACACCTGAACTGTTGAAACAACATCCATAACATTCATCTGCTACTTAGTAATTATGTATCTAATATATCATATTCCAATAACTTGCATATATACTCTTATTGCACTAATTCAAACTATTTTTCTTTTGTATGTACTATTTACTTGCACTATACTTTTCTGTTTATCTGTGTTATTGTGTTGCATTGTTTGAGGAGCCTGTGACCTAAGATTTTCATCTGCATAACAACACTGTAGCTATGTTCGTATGACAAAATAAAGAACCTTGAACCTTGTAAGAAACGAAATAAATAAAGAATAGTAGGAAACGAGAGTTGGGACTTGCATTGTTCTCACAGCTCTGGATATTAAGACAATACAAAACAAGTAAATAAAAGCAAGAGAAGACTTCAATATCTCTTTTTTATTAATTCTGACACACTGCGGTCAGATAGAAAAGTATGAGAGTTACACTTTTCAAGTTGCTTCCATGACTTGTGCAAACACTAGACGGTATCCGGGGAGAAATCCTCTGAAGGAAAATAAAGGAAATGGAAAAAGAAAGACATCGAAATGCAGAAGAAATGAATAAGTGCATTTAAACCTATGTGTTGATTCTTTATGCAGTATTTATTGATTCCCAGCTTCATATAAACTGGATGTTGAGGCATAAACATAGTACATTTGAACAAAAATATAACCAATATTTACAATTATTGTATTAAAAATACAAAAACAACTGATACGTACTCCACCAATTGTCTTTTTAAAAGACATACAGGTCAAAGTAGTACAAGAAAGAATGAAGAAAAGAAGGTCATCACCAGCTAAATGTACATTTCTCACTGACATCACACACCAAACGGAGTAGCAGTTCTACCTACTACACTTATCTTTACGCTTGTACATTTTTGTGCAACTTTTTGTTTTTAGAAATAGGCCTCGGCCCCGCTAATATGCACATTATCTTCAGAGTTCGATGAAAGTGAATGATGCATGTCACCACCGTATTACAAACAAATTATTAACAATCTATCTGCAGCCATTACAAAAAGAATTACGATAACAAAAAAGGGAAACCCAGGAAATCATTAGTGTATAGTCACAGACCACAGTGGGGAAACACTCATTCATCTTTTTCTCAGTCTGTAGTTTCCGAGACTGATCAATGTGATCAGCGCGACTCAGTGTGGAAGAAAACACAACGGTACTTTTCACAACTGGATTCACGATCGTTCTGATTGGCAGCCTTGAAAAAAGTTTTCTTCATATGTCAACTTCCTCACCGGAGTCAAAACAATTAAAAAAAAATCAGTCACTTCCAATAGTGGAAAAACTGGATGCAGGAAATGTGACTTACATACAGCGTCCACTGAGCCGATGTAACGGAGAGGAGATTCTGAGGATGAGTTTCTGAAGGGACCGCAGAGAGAGAGGTGTCCACAGTCTGAAGCCACGCGGAGAACAAAACAGAAACAAAATGCTTGGCTTCATCTTGTACTGAGTCTTCACAAAAAGTCTCTTGAATTGGGTTGTATCTTGAATAAGGCATTTCACTCCACTATTGCTTGATTCAAGACTGCTCCTGAAACAAGGTGATTTGTGACGGGAACGACCATGCAAAGAAATGTATGCAATCATGGCATCGTAAGGCGCTTTGGACATTCACAAAATGTGGCATTATGTTCAGGGAGGAGAAGAAAAGAAAAAAAGCCAAATCTGTGGATATATTTTTCTCAAAGGGTTTGTTATAAGACTCTGTACAAGATCATCTGTAACAAGGTAGATAGTTAAGAGGTACACTCACAATTGTACACGTTGGCAGCTTCTGAAATATGCTGATGTGTGATCCCTTAATGCTAAAATAAAGGAAGGAGAGGCAACTTTTCTTAAAGTCAGTGAGCGCTCGCTAACTGCTCACAGCTTTGATTCACCTTCTTCCAGGCTCCATTTCATTTGGGCAAAACCTCCAGGGTTAAATCATCATTCTCTCCTCTGATGGAGTCCAACATGTCCGCTCAGCTTTCCGTGGGGGGTTCAATGTCCTCCGTGCTTTTTGATATCACCCACAGAAAACATTATACTCTGGAGCAAGCAACAGGATGAGGGAAAAGACTTTGATATGACCAATAGGAGCTCCGCAGATATGATTCACTCGGGCCAAATGTCTGGTAACATCTAGGATTGTGCTGAAAGTGCTGTTTTTAAAAATGTGTGTGTGTGTTTGTCAGTACACTGTGCATGTTGGCTCTTCTTTACCAGGCTCTCCTCCCAGCTTTGATTTAAAAACCAACACTTGATAAGCTTTCACATGTGATAATACTGGATGCAGAGTTCAAAACACTCGTAAGATGGGTTGTTTCAGTCCTGGGCCAACTCAGTTTCAATTGTTTTCGGCCGCCAAGAGTGCAATCAGTCCGAGAAAATAACACAAAAAAAAAAAATGAAATCTAACGGGAAGGTGTTTCCTCAAGTCTGCTTTGTTTTTATTTGTTCTGTTTCTCCGAAAGTAGAAAATGACAAAGTGCAGATGAAGTTCGACACGTCATGATGCTGTTGTGTTGTGTTTGTCTCCCACAGCAACATCTGTGTGTGTGTGTGTGTGTGTGTGTGTGTGGGGCCAGGTCGACCCCTCCTCCCAGCACCAGTTTTATTTCTGTAGTCTTTTTATCCAAAGTGCCAGGCGTTTTGTCCTCGTCTTTTTCTCTCCTTCTCTTCTTCACAGTATTTTTTGCATGCAGGGTCAGTCAACCCCCGATGATGCTTTAAGGCAGGGGAGGGAGACGAGCAGAGGAATCCACCAATCAGGAGGGAGAGCCGAGTGGAGGAGGCAGGCACGTACGTAACTGATGATGAATAGTCCATTGGTCTGTCAGTCTCTTAAATCCTGCCCCCCCACCCCAAAACCAGGGGGACTTCGGTTTACTGCAGAAGGACGTCCGCTGTCCCTCAGACCGCTGACACCTGTTCATCCTCTGTGGAGAGAGACAGGAAAGGTTACTTCTAATGTGGACGTGCAGTGTATGAACTATCTTTCAAGTTACAAAAGTAGTGAGAGGTGTGCACTTTAGTGAAAGGTGAAATCTAAAGAGGAACTACAGCAGTGTTGAGTTAGAATGAAATGGATTCCTGACAAACACAGTTTTCTTTAGGACAGCGTTTCCCAACCTGTGGGCCGCGGCCCCTTAGTGGTCCGCGAAGGCATTGCAAGTGGGCCGCCAAATAATTTGCAAAACATTATGATTTGTGTGGAAACATTTCATTATTAAGATATTTGTATATTTTAACCTCTTTTCCTTTCTTTTTCTTGATCCTCCTTAGCAACGGTCAATTACTTTATTTAGCCTCCGTATTGTTTAGTTGAATGTGGGCCGCACATTTTTTTTGATTCTTAAGTGGGCCCCGAGTTGAAAAAAGTTGGGAACCGCTGCTTTAGGGTTTATGTCAGTATGTGAAAATCAACTTACAGTGACATCTTTTTAATATTATTGATTCATCAAAATTATTTTGAGGTTCCCTGGGACGTCTTTTCTTTAGAGGCAACATTTGCATTATCATTTTGATTTAATTTATAGTGATTTTTCTTCTGTCTTTTAAGATACGCAGTTTTTTAAGATACGCAGCTCATTAACAGATGATGACAGATGTTTTGTTGGCCACATATTTTCTCAGCAGCTATATTAACCCATGTTGTCTTTTATGTATTTTCTTGTATATTAACAGAAGGGTAGTGTATACAGATTGCCTTATAAAGTTTTACAAAATGCATGTTTTATCAATTTGATTTCCATGCACTGAAATGTCTTTATTTCTCTGCAAGCGCCTTTTGTTTTATACAATATTTGTATTACTTATTTATTGTATTCTTAAGGGACTGTGGACAGTTAAACTATGAAACATTTGTCAGTCAAAGGACCAAAAATAAAAAAATAGCCTTGTTTTATTAGTGTAGATTAATGTTGTTTTTTGTTGAAGGGTTTTATTTGGTGATTCTTAAATTAATCAGACAAATATGTCTTTTCTTTTTATACTTCCTACTTTAACATCTTGTGTTAATATACACATTTTTTATTTATCTTTTTCTAAACGTTATTGTCACTAAACAACATTTCCCATGGGATAAATAACAATTCTGTTTCTGATGATCCTGATTTGATCAGAGTGAGATATTTGATTGAGTGAGATATCCTTGGTGAAACACGAGACACCTGTGTGTATAAAGAGTGCTTCTACATGATGCAGGATCATCCAGAGTCTCTGCAGTGGGGTGGGGGGTGCGTGCGGGTGGAGGAGGATGGGGGTGCATGTGTCAGGCAGTTTGCATGGTGAGGATCAGCACTGTGCCTGCTGATGGAGGCTACTCGGCACAGTGTGTGTGACGGAGAGAGAGCAGGATGTGTGGTGGAGAGAACCAGGCCCACCGTATGACTCATGCATGATGACACATTGTGGGTTAAAGGTGAGGGTCCCACTCCAGAGGAACAATTCCCAGGTCATAAATAATAAATGTACATTTTTAATTTTAACAGGGAATTGTGATTTGGAGAGGGGCCGATCCTACTGTGGGAAGTGTGTGTGTGAAGGAATGGTGAGTCTCAGTCCAGGTGTGTGTCCCTGATCACATGCAGGTTCATCGGAGTGGAGAGAGAGAGGGGGGGGGGCAACCTGATAAATGAGTTTTTACCTGCCTTGGGGAGAGGGGCCCTGCCTGTTAACCCCCGCACACACACTCTCAGAGCCTGGGAGTCTCGCGTGTACGCTGTGGCTTTGGCTTCCTCAGAGCGACTAGTTTGGAAGACAAGGACTCACCCTCCTCTTCCTCCTGAGCCTCTTGCTCCTCGGCCGGTGAGCGTGTGCGGTGGAGGCCCCCCGCCCGCTGCTTGGCCCCCTGCTGGGCCTGGTGGGAGTCGGGCGACTGGGTGACCATGCGCGAGCGCTGCAGAGCCGTGGAGTAGTCCGGGGGCCGGCGGCCTGTGTGCGGAGCCGTGGACGCGGGGACAGCTGGGGGGGGGTGCTGCCCGTCAGCCAGGTCGGAGATGGTGAGGGCCGTGTAGCCGGGGGGGGTCGGGGGGGGGCTCGCGGTAACGACTCTCTTTCCGTGCTGGAGGGACACAAAAGCAACAATGATGGAACTTAAAAACTGTCTTTAAGGGGCAGTTTTTCCCTATTTTTGAAAGTCAGGACAGATGTTTCTATACTGTAGCTTGAGAGATAATAACAACGTTTTTTTATTTCAGAAGAAGGCTAAACTGTACTTTATAAACTCTCTGTAACCCTAACAACTTAATATTCCTCCCTGCCTCGACTGGTTGGGTAAATAGTGATAGATAATGACAGGAAATGAGGAGGGATTCAATGGAACAACGGTCTGTGGCACATGGGCATGGTCGACATATTAAAACCCCCAGGAAAGCAGAGGGACAATATGTTCCTGCTCTTTTGCATTCAAATCCACTATGTCTTGATTTAATGACTTCAACATATTGCCTCATGGAGGAATTCATGGATTTTTTAAAATGCCTGTTGAATATAAAAAATAAATCTGAGAATGCAAAAATGTTTGCACAATTTAAAACATTGTTCCTTGTTTGTTAAACCAATGCAAAAAAAACGAGTTTAGAAATGTCACGTTGTGGTTTTATGGGATACATTGTGCCTTCATGTTGTTTTTACACAGTATTCTCCCTACAGTTTTTTCTGCTAGACTTTCCCTTTCTTCTGTGATAAAAATACTGTGTACTTAAAATGTTTTCCTTCCATTAAAAACTTGACTTATTCAAAGAAGCAGGACTGTTAGGTGCGGTCACTCACTCAGCAGTCCCTTCCCCCCGGTGGTGATGGGTGAGGGGGAGGGCCGGCCCAGGTGCTTGGCCTCCTCTGAGCCGGTGGAGGTGATGCTGCTCGTCTCTGCGTCGGCGTTCACGTCCTTCCCCCCCCTCCTCTTGATGGTGCCGGTGTCTCCCTCAGAGTCCTCCCCCCAGTACGCAGCTGAGGAGGAGGAGGAGCTAGCTGAAGCCCAGCTGCCCCTGGCCTGGGCTGCCCACAGAGCAGCGTGCCCCCCTAAAAGGGCCTCCGGACCTCCAGGAGGCAGCCCCCCTCCTCCGCCTCCACCGAAGGCCAGAGTCTCCCAGCTGCGGCCCTGCTGCATGGTCTGGATGTTGTCGTGGGAACCCGAGGAGCAGGACGTCCAGGAGCCGCGCCCGCTGTCTGCAGCGTCCAGGGAGACTCGATCGCCCTGATCCTGGGTCAGCTCCTCTGAGCTGGGGGAGGAGAGCACCGTGGGGCAGCCGGAGTAAATGCCCCGACAGTCCTGCATCGATGAATATGACCTGAGAGGGGATACAAATAAAGATAATTACTTAACTTGTAGGGCAGATACATAAAATGGTTAATAGAGTGCATATATTTAGCGTGTTTTCAGTTTTACTAACACCTCAAACCACCTTTACATGTATTAGTCAGCATTCACCCAATCACACAGAAGCAGAGGCTGCCATACAAGGTACTTGCTCAACTGACTAAAAAGAGATGGAAATCAAGCAGTAAAATGCTATATATAAAAAATGTTACACTGACAATCCCAGTAACAGTTACTAAGGGGCCGGGTTTTACAAACTGTTTATTTAAACTCAGAGTAATTGTTACTGTGAAAAACCAAATATAATGTCATGTTCTTTAACGAAAACCTATTCTAGTCCTACCAAAACATTTTCCTCATCTACTTTCCATTTGTGCATTTGTTTTAGCTTTTATAACAAATATCTGAAACGCCGCTGTTATTTTGAACTAAACCTCAAATGAAACTCCTAATGTTCCTACCCGAGGCTGTACTGGTCGGAGTCGGTTGTTGCCCTTCGTTCCAGCCGCTGTCCCACGATGTTGGATTCCCCGACTCCAGAGTGACGGAGCCTCCTCTCGTCCTGCGCCATGTCGAAGGAGGAGTTACTGACGAGGCTGGAGCGAGAGGAGATCTCACTGTTACCAGAGTCCGAGTAGGCGTTGTAACCTGCAGGAGAGGAGAAGGAAGAGGAAAGGAATTGTTAAAAAGGTTCAATTTAAAGGTCACCTATTATGCAAAATCCACATGTTCATGTCTCTTCTACATCAACATGTGTCCCCTCTGTGGAAAGAGATTCTGAAAGTTTCAGGAAAAAAGATTCTCTCACTTTTTGTCCTGATCCATTTATATAAAAATGTCTGAAAATGAGCTGATCAGATTTTGGCCACTTGATGATGTCATAACGATTTTTTGGCTTGTGTAACCATTAGCCAATCACCAACCAAGGTAACCCCCCCCCCCCCACACACACCGTATCACCTGAACCTCCTCCTAGAGCACTATTGTGTTCTTTTTAACCAAATCTCTCTCAGAGGGGCGTGGGGAGGGGCTCCTTATTCTCATCTAAAGTAACAGACAGAGAATCAGCCCTTTTGAAACAGGGCTGAAACAGAGGGGATTATGGGTAATGCTGCAATGATCTGTTTGGTGTTTGGAGCCAAACACTTCAGAGACATGTTTTGTATATTTCTGAGACCTGTAATATATTGATAAAAAACAGTATAATAGGGGACCTTTAACGCATGTGCTTTAGTCCGTTTGATTTGCCTTCATTGCAAAAAGTAGCATGAAATACTTTGTTCTAAATGAAAGCACGATAAAGCCCTCTCATGCATGCTGACTGGGTCTCATTCCAACACAAAGCTCCCAACATTAAACTAACTTATGGTGGATCAACTGTTTTTCATCCGTCATCATAAATCATCTTTAATCCACATATCTTGTCTCAGTCAGTGTTTTGAAACAAGCCGTCACACAGACTGCAGGGTAATTGTAGAGTTCAATTTTCCAAGTAAGCCAAGCAGCTCTTTAGGGAAAAGTGCTGAAGAGTGTGGAAAAGTTTAGATAATAAGCGTGAAGGGAATGGGAATTACATAATAAAGTCTGGAAAAATATAAAGAAATCACTGGTTATGATCGCTGACACATGTAAAGACATATTCTCAAGTTATAGACAACTGTCACTGTGGAATGTGTTGTATTCCTTCGCCTCCATCACCTCAATCACCTCCTCACTTCTGAATGACTGAGTCTGACCAAAAAAGAACGTCTTGATTATAATTTTGAGGAAGTCTTAATTGTAATGATGTGGCTCCAACATGAGTCACTAGAAAACCACATGCAAATCAAACTCAGACTGTAGAGCGGACACATACACTTACATGAGGAAACAGTTTCTAAGATAATGTAGGAACCAGTTACAGATCAGAAAGTTCTCAAAGCATCCAGTCTAGCAGCTTCTTTGGGAGTTGGTTTCATCAAGAAGAAGTTACATGTTGAATGCTTACCACTATTTTTGCAGCAGAGCACTATGTACCTTTCATGTTTTTTATTTATGGTATTCAAGCATCAATATGTTTAGGTTATTTGATTTCATAACTGTCTGCATTTGGCACTTTAAAGTATACTGTATATAGCTTTTTCATTTGTTAGTCAGCTGGATTACTACTGGGCCGATTTCAAGACAGTCAAGAAATAATTCATTTCAGAGTGGATTCAAATCACAAGCTGCATACAGGAAATATTTGTTTTACTTTGTGGAAATAATCTTCACAGAGTTCTGCGCTCTCCTACTGTCATTCTAGTTGACATGATACTCTTATTGTTAACCTGCTGTGTTCAACTTTCCCTATCTGTCCAGTATCATGAGCGAACGAAGACACATTTCTAGTAAAAATAGTGAAATGTTGAAGAGGCTGTTACAAATGCTGTTTAAAGTATAACCAGTTTTTGCCAACAATGTGGCTGTTGCCTTAAACCTAGAACTGTTAGCCTTACAACTTAAAACACAGGTATTAAGGCTTATAATAGTGTTACCTACATTCACTCAAACATCCTGACTAGTTTGTACTGCTGCAGCCTATAAACATGGCTGCAGTGGTTTAAAGTGGGACGAAATATTTCAGACTGAGTCCTACTGCCCAACACACCATCTGAAACATGTTGCAGTGCATACTGACAACCACCAGGTGGCATGTGTGGCCCATGGTGACAGAAAGAAGGATCATGAAGATGGTGTGGGGGGTGGGGGGAGGGGGGAGGGGGGAGGGGGGAAGGATTATTGGCTTACCCTTCTTGGGTGAGCTTTGTGGGGAGGTGGGAGGGGAGGAGAGCTGGGAGGAGGCGTTGGACACGGTGTCCTCTGGCTGCCTCCGGTGCCTTTCGTTCCCCTCCTCCGACAGAGACAGGATCTTCTTCAGAGACTGAGGGGAGTTGGTGCCTGTGGACATTTACAAGAAGATGAGCAGAATTAGCACGAGGAGCTCTGCCATTCCCCGCAGCGAGCTGCGCGACTGCATTGTCTGGGACTTTTTCTTTTTTTGAATTAGCTGTTTTTGGTCAGACAGCCTCTAGGTGGCAGCACTGTCATAAAGACGCTGGTTCGGCTGTTGTCTGCAAATAACAGGATGAGGGAGAGGAAAGTGGGCAATGGTGGCACATAAAAGGGACAGGGAACAGGAGGTTTCTAAAGGCTTACACCACCATACAACACTGCCAAACATTATTATATAAGAGAATAAGCTGTATTTACAGTTGTATTAATTTGATCTTGGAATGACCTTCAATCACGCCTTAAACTGACGGCACTTGTCCCTATAGCCTGTTTTAAATTGAAGTTGTCTGAGGTCCTTACCACCAGCTGCTCTTGCAGTAATAAGTAGTGCCTTTCTTACTGTCTCAAATGTGCACAATGTAGTGACTGCTTTTTTTGTTTTGTTTTATACTTCGTTTTTTTTATATGTCTGTGTTATGTGTAAGAACGTGTAACATTGCCAGGTTCTTGGCCAGGTCAGCATTGTAAATGAGATTTTATCTCTATGCTTTTTATCTGGTTAAATAAAGGTTTAATAAAATAAAAAAATTCAATAACATTAGGTGAGATATTAGCTAAATTATGGGACACGACACGTGACAGGTCCCTACAATAGAAATATAAGTATTAACTGTGGACATATTTCACTAATTTTGATAAATCTAACGATATTAAAGGCCACTCTCCATATGCATTACACTTTTACAAAAACTCATACACATTTCTCGATACAAATACCTCTCAATGGCATCAAAAAAAGTGCTAGTTCTAATATTTAAAACAAATGTAGTTGCTTGAAAGAAATAGGTATACAGTAGGTACACATTCAAAATGTATTTTTGTATACCGGGCTTCATAAAGATTGACATCCACTTACCAAAAGGCGGCAGATCCTTGACTGGCACTTTCTTCCGGGATGGGTAGAGGGCCACGGCGGGGACCTGCAGGGCCTGGCCCCCCTTGGCCAGCTGGCCCCTCTGTTGGCTGGCCGCTCGGCACACCACCGGGGAAGTATCTGGTCGTTTCCCACCGGCGTTCTTGGGCACTGGGTAGCGGAAAAAAGACAGAGCAAACCCCCATTACACAGTTAGAATTAGAATGTAGGTCTTAATATAAAGGCAAAAGGACATACGAGAAGGCAGGAATGTTCTGTGAAGTTTAACAAAACGGCTGGGGTTTGATAGTCAAAGCTGTTCTTTCTGTGTATGCATTAGCAGCCAGTGAAGTTGGCATTAACAACGGGGAACTGGCGTAGCGATTCAGTCATTTTAATTCACTGCCAATGAGTCTTAAAGCAGGACTGAGTGTCCTGTTACTCCACCCTGTCTGTGTCTGCTTTGAATCCTGGGAACACACAAACGTCTCCAGAGAAATATGCACCTCAACAAAATCAAGTAATCAACATTTAACTCTAATTATATTCTAGAAATAATTGCTCTGCTGGGAGACGAGACAGTAAGAGTTTATCTTATACATTATAATCATGGTAGATGGTAAATGGGCTGCATTTATATAGCGCTTTTCCAGTCTGTGCAACACCTCAAAGTGCTTTTGCATACAAGTCAGGATTCACTCATTCATACAGAGGCTGATATACACCTGCTCATAGGAGACTTACATTCACACACACTCACACACTATTGGGAGCAGTTCAGGGTTAAGTATCTTATCTGATCGAGATGTTGACTGCACAGGCTGGGGATGAAACCAGCGACCTTCCGATTGGAGGACGACTAGTCATATTCAATCTTTCTTGCATGTGTCTGTCACAAACTCACGTGTGCTGATGGAGGGCTCGCACTGCATGGAGAGCGTCTGCAGACTCTCCTCGTTGGTCTCCAGGCTGAGGTTGGACAGATACTGTTTGACCTTCCTGGCCATCTGCGCGTCCTCGTAAAGCTTTTTGGCATTCAGGAAGGAGCTTCGTCTCACCCTCTTCTTGTGCCCGCCGGTCTGCGTGACGTCCAGCACCGCCGCATTGGCACTACCCTGGCTTAGAGACCTATACATGTGCACCCACACGGAAACATGCACATAAACACATAGAAAAGAATAAAGGAAGACTTATTAGAATAGTCTGTGAATGAGCGAGTGAAGCATAATGTACAGGTATTATTACAGGGCTGGTGTTTAAACTTGGACATGCACAGAGCAGTTTTAGGTATTTCTCTCCACTGCAAAACATTCCAGTCATTCCAGACAGCAGAGGGGGGGGTGGGGGGTAGTGAGGGAGGGAGGCTGTAGTCAAACAACGGGGGAGTAGAGAGGGGGAGTTCTGCTAGTATAGCACACTCATAGTTTACATTGCTGTGGCCTGAGTCAGCTCGTAGTGGTAGTAAAAGCTTTACTTGCACATGGTCTCATTAAGTAAGTAAACAAAACAATAGTTAGATTTGTTCTCATCAGTGGACAAATATCTATTTTCTTTATTGTTTCTCATATGGATATTCTTAAAAATGCTTCTGAAAGACACTGACTATCAAAACATATCATTTCTATAAGATATATATATAGATGCTCAGTTCCAAAAATGCACACAAGTACTGCTTTCTGATCTTGTAATTATAACCTACTATAGCACCTCACATTCCCCGAGATTAAGATCTCATAATTACAAGAACAACTCTCACAATTACGAGATACAGATCTTGTAATTCCAAGATGGCTTTCTCCTAATTACAAGACCCTGAGTCATAATTACGAGACACAGAATTCATAATTACCAGAAAACGTGTTCCTTTAGTGAGCGCAATGTGCTTCCCATCTGTTTCCCGTTATATGTCTCCGTAAATTCACAGCGATGTCCCATTCGACCACAGGAATGTAAAGCATGATGATAAAAATGTTTTATATCCAGAATATCTGGCAGTTTGGAGCTTTAATGTACAGATCAAACCTCAAAAACAAGTACAACTTTGAAAATGAAGCTGCATGCATTTTGTTAGATAAACATGTCAAGAAAGGTCACATTTGCTAACATACGACTGGAATCCAACAGAAAATAATACGTTGTTGTGTGTTTTCCCAATCATTTGTGTAATTAATTTACAGTATGTTTAACCCTCCTATTGTCTTCGTCCCCGTCCCCCCCTTACTTTGGTGTTCGCGGTCAAATTTGACCGGTCCTGTTTTAACTGCTATTACATTAACACAAAAAACATTAATCATCACCAAATTTCATTTAACACCCTTTCAAACTGTACATATTGTATCAGACTGGTACACATGAAAAACTGCAGTAAATATACAAAGAATAGACACTGAACATGTATTGCGTGTGCCAGCTGTGATCCATGTGGGGGGATGGGCACATAAGAGTGGGAAATGTGTCAAATTGTTCTGTGTGTTTGTGTGTGTGTGTGTGTGTGTGTGTGTGTGTGTGTGTGTGTGTGTGTGTGTGTGTGCCAGGTGTGATCCATGTGGGGGGATGGGCACATAAGGGACACACACACACATCTACAGTATGTATGTATGTGTGTGTGTGTGTGTGTGTGTGTGTGTGTGTGTGTGTGTGTGTGTGTGTGTGTGTGTGTGTGTGTGTGTGTGTGTGTGTGTGTGTGTGTGTGTGTGTGTGTGTGTGTGTGTGTGTGTGTGTGTGATCTGATCCGGATGGTTACTAATTCCTTTTCTTTATGGCGGTCATTTTTGACCGGGAACACCATGGGTGTTACAAAGTTGACTAAATCATCCAAAATGCAATGAAAGTGGTGATCAGCAATTGTATATGTTCAAATGTCTACTGTGAAGGATATCATAAAGCCTTAATGAAATCGAATGTAAAACTAAAAAGGTCATGATTGATGAAAGTAGTAAATCGTTCAGATTTGACCCGAAGACAACAGGAGGGTTAATGTAAAATAGTCCAGCGTGACCAAATGCTAGCATAATGTGACCTTGTTTCCTTCAATGCCCTTTGGTTAGGGCCAGGCAGTGTTAGTGAGAGGATTCAACTCTAACCGGTTAATAAGGTTTGAGAAAAGAAGAAAAGAAGCAAGCAAATTGGCAGAAAAAAGAAACCGTGGTGCAGGGAGGGCAAAAGGTCATAGGGTCACCAAACTTACCCTAAACTCCTCCATTTCTTCTTCCTAGAGGGTGGGTGCCATGAACAGAGAAGCATGGAGGGGCAAAGGGTGGATGAATCGAGAGAGAAAGAGACAAAGCTTAGGACAGGAAAGACCACCAAGATCACCAAAAAGAGAAATTTGACCCATGTGAAAGTCAGTAGAGAGGAAATCAAATGGTTACACCACTAAGAAGTCACATCATTAGACAAAGACACACTTTCACTGAAGCACTGTGCACATTATACGTCAACAATGTGTATAGGGGAACAGTTGCCAGAGGAAACAGTTGCCAGAGGGAACAGCTGCTTGAGAGAGAAGCGTGAGGCAGAAAGTTTGACTGACTACGTGAAGTGGAGTGCTGACAGGACCTACAGGGAGGGTGATGGATCCTTTTTAATATGACATCTGGCTTCGATCGTAAGGATCTATTTTACCTTGTGCGGAACATGAGGGCTGGGTCCATGTTGACAGAGGCCATGCGACCCACATGGCGAATTTCTTTGGCGATCATCCTCAGCTTCTCAAAGTTCACCAGGCCGTCCACTTTGGAGTCATTGCCTGAGAAACGAGGGGAGAAAGAAAGTCAATTACTGACATTTTACACAGTTGATCAAACTAATGCAGAATAAACACATAACACTGCCCTGCAAATACACATCTATGCAGTTTGTTCAAATATAGTAAGGACCATCATCTGACATGTTTAAAAATGTAAATAAATCGTACAATTTTAAAGGAAACTGCAAGCAAGTCTTTAAACAGCTAACATTAAGCAGGAACCCTACTGTATGTGACATTGTTTAATACAACAGGGTTCATACACTTTTTCACCAATGACTTTCAATGACTTTTCCATGACTTCTCCAGGACCTTTACCTAATTTTCCATGACCAAAAAAACAACTCTTTCTCAGCGGTACCACTGAAAATGGTTTATTTTAACATGGAACAGGAAAATAAGGTCTGCATCTGAAACATGTTGTGCCTATCTAAAACTAGTAGGCTTACTAGCTTCTACACGCTAAAGCAACTCAAATCTGTTAAATGCCATTTTACGTTTCATTACTATACCATACAGTATGTATTATCATTATAGTATTACTATTTCGGCGATTAGATAAAATATAAATTATATTTGATGCAACTTTAGTTACATTTCCATGACTTTTACAAAACTTTGGGAAAAATATTGTTTTCCATAACTTTACCAGGGCCTGGAATTAGCATTTTGAATTTCCATGACTTTTCCAGGTTTTTAATGACCGTAAGAACCCTGATACAAGCTATCTAACTTGCCTCAAAACGTCAGGGCAGTATAGCCATGACTTAGACACTTAAAAAGATGTCTAGTCCCTGGTTCTTACTGCAAGCTTTACCAATTACAAATATGTAAGTGTGAAGCTTTTATATAGACAGATCATGTGACCTACCTTCGTGCAGGAAGGTGAGGTCCTTCTTGATGACGGGGAACAGGGGGATAATTGGCGGCTGCAGGTTCTGATTGTTCAGCACGTTCCTGTACTTGGCCATGTTCCTGGAGGGGTCGAAGAGGTCCTGCAGGTCGCTGAACAGCTTCTCGTACTTACTGGGCAGCTTCTCCCACGTTCCCCTCAGCCTGGAGACTGGAGCCAGGTTCAGACCACTGTGGGGGGGGGGGGGGGGGGCATAATAAGCATGAGAGTGGGAAGAATAGTGCCGATTTAAGCTCTTTCTCCAGAGGTCAAACTAAACATCATTCAGGTTTTAAGTTGCATATATCTTGAACAAACTACCAGAAAACTGCAGGTCTGTTGCTACTCTAACTTCTTTTAATATCAAGGCTAAATAATTTTCTGATTGACACTGCATTTTAAAAAAATCAAATAATATTCATATATCTTAAATAGCACTGTAACTTTTATTCTTGTATTACATACCTGTCTAATTATATTTTAGCTTGCTTTTTATTTATGTTTCGCTGACTTTTTAATTAATGTTTTAAAATGTATTTACTGTAAATGTCATTTTATTCCCTAATACTTTTCGTACGTTGACGTAATACAATGTTGTGATTGACTTGTGGTTGAACTGGCTATATAAACAAACCTGCCTTGCCTTGATATATATTAGTTTATAAGTTCACAAACATATATTTCTTAGAATTCATCAAATAAATAAGTTACACCTCCTCAGAACTAAATAAGAATACAAAATAGGTTAAAATCAAAATCACAAATGAATGTGTTGATAAAAATCCTGTATCAGTCCACTGATATAACCAACATAAATTACAATGGCACAGTTCCCTCCACATATATAGATCCAGAGTTGGGAAGTAGTGTAGTACAAATACTTTGTTACTGTACTTAAGTAATTTTTTCTGGTATCAGTACTTTACTCCACAACTCATTGTATACTCCACAAATACCTGTACTTTCTACTTCTTACATTTTCCAAACAGGCTGGTTCCTTTAGTTTGAATGTGTGTTTGGTGGCGTGATCATTATTATTTAGAGTCATTGCGTGCCTATTGATTTGAACACGATCCGTGTATCCATCATTTCCTGGTCTTCTCTAAAGAAGAGGGACCAATGGAAACATTCATTAGCTAACAATGACATTATTGTTCTGTTAATATAAAGGGAGGTCAGTTACTCTTTAAAATAGCTGGTAGCTATGGGTACTTTTTACTCAAGGACATTTCAAAGCTCATACTTCTTTACTTTTACTTGAGTAAAGAAGTTTAGTCAGTACTTCTACTTTTACCAGAGTATTTTTAAACACGAGTATCTGTACTTCTACTTGAGTAAAGGATGTGTGTACTTATGCCATCTCTGTATAGATATCTGCGTCTCACCTGATGATGGCGAACATGGAGTTGAAGTTCTTGCACTCGCGGCAGTGCAGGGCGATCTTGATGAAGTGCTTCACGTTCTTCATCCTCTTCAGCTGGTTGGGTTCGCGTGTCACCTCCGTGGCCACCCAGAAGGTCTCGTGGTTGATGGCCTCCTCGAAGCGCTTCAGGCTGAACGAGCCCGTCTTGGAGCGCAGCTTGTAGAGGTCGTCGATGTACTCGGTGGGCTCGATGGCGCAGAACAGCTCGAAGGCCCTCATGGAGAGCTGCGTGGACACCTCGACCGTGCTGAGCTGCAGCAGAGAGATCTGGCCCTCCCGCAGGAGATCCTGAGCGTCGTCGTCCGAACACAACGTCTCCGTCTCCATGTTGCTCTTCAGGTAGTATCTGGTGAAAGGGGAAAGGTGTGGTTTATATTTCCTTTCTTTAAGGCGAGACACTACAGGTGAATAGGGTACTTTCTTTAACTTAAAGACATCAGCAAGACATTTCTCCAGTTAATTACTTACATTAAGACAATAGTTTTTCGTATTACAAGTTTTCTGAAATAGCATGTTTACATTTGCAAATGAGCCATTATCTAATTAAATACGCGCATATTTTAATACATTTCAGGAACCTGAACATTGGATAAAGTCAGGTTCAACATTCTTGTTTCATTTTGTAGTCATATTAGAATCTAAAGTTTTTACAGAAGGGATTTTGGATATCTCTTTTTATCACTCCATAAATCAGAAAATACTGTCAACAGCCGTAACATATCAACGTTTGCATCATATAACTGAAAAATAACTCATTCTATAACAGATGAATCACTTAATGGCCAAATCCTTGCTAGTTTAGCTATTCTAACGTAAGAATGTACTTATTTTCTCTATTTTATGTCATGCTTAACTAGAAATGTTTTGTATTTAAGTGTTTGCCGAACAAATCAAACAATTTAGAGCCCTCTACTTTGTGTCCCTGAACAATGTGATTGCTGTTACTGGCACTTTATTGAATACGTTATCAATTGAGGTTTGTTGATTAAGAAAATAATTGTGAATATCAGCTTTTTTCCATCTTCATTTGAACTTTAGCTAACCAGAAGAGTCTAGGAGTTAAAATAATATGTTGAGAAAGAGTCCTGGACAGAAAAGCAACACCATTTTGTTTTAAAAAATCAACATTTATATAAGGAACCCGCACCGTCCCCTTTGCTGTAACGCTGTGAATGTTCCTGCTGTGCGACAGATATAGAATTTCACATTTGATCCGGTTTTAGATGTATTTACCTGCCGCTCAGTTGAATCCTGTCGGCCAGTTTGGAGAGCTGGTCAGGTAGCCTCCTCTGTTTGATGACGCCCTCCGGAGTGACGGACACTTCACACAGCGAGTACGCTTCAGGAGCTGCTGTCAGAGCGAACTCCCTGATAGCCTGAGCCACCACCTCCTTCGCCGTGGTGTCCTTCCCGATCATGATGTACCGGGACTGCTGGTCCGCCTTGAAGACTCGCAACACCTGGTCCGACATATCTGAGGGTGACAAGAATACATAATCAGGATAGATGCTCACTTATTAGCGTTGTTTTGACTGAGAGGTATGAACTTCTTAAGCAATTTCTTCTTTGTTTCCTAAGATGAATAAACAGTCATTCCATCTTCCAAGAATTCTCTTTGAGCAAGCATCCATCACCAGCATCCATCTTTTGGATGTCACCCGCAAACCTTATTATCCGTAATTCCTTAGTTTGATCAGAAGCACAACCAATCATAGGACCCAAAATCTCCAAAGTATTTAAAGGGAAAACCATAATTATGTGCCGTGTGAATTGTATGTATGCGAATTTGACATTAAGGAGTTGACAAAGAAGCAGGAACACAGGGAGAGACATACTCACTCGGTATGACTGGGACTGGAGGAACACAAAGAACATGTGATGAGCAGGAGGTAAAGGGGATACAAGTATAGGTACTATATGTATATTCTATTAATGTAAAGCCCATTAAATGTAAGGCAACGTTTCCAAAGCTCCTAACTGAAATTAGCCAGAACAGCAGAAATGAACAGAAATATCAATGTGTGAGATGAACCTGAACATTAAAATAACGGCTTGATGAGAAACCCACTGTCCCCAGGAAAAGGAACAATATATATATTTTTTAAAGTAACCCATTAAATGTTTGAGTATGTTTCCCCTGCTGCTAATTCAAATAAGCCGTAAGAAAAACATTTAATGAAGGACATAATGATCGTTTTAAGATCTTATTTTCTTATGATGAAGTCTAATGTTTGATGAAAAATGCACACACTGCACATTATATCCACAGAGCAGGAGTTAGTCCTCACCAGGCTGGTTGTTGAAGTCGAGGATACGGTGGTGAGACTGCAGCAGGTCGGGGTTTGACGACGAGAGGTTTCCGCTGACGGGCAGAGCTGGCAGTGCGATCTGTTTGGACTGCTTCATCCCCACGATGCTGTCGTCCTGCGATTGGCCCACGCAAACGTCACTATGGAAACAAGAGAGGAGGTATCAGTACTGTCAACAAAAGGCAGGGGGCGATATTTGTGTTGGTTGCTGTGGACCCATATACTAGTAAATTCTGCAGGTAAAAAAAGTTAGATTTTTTACTAGTTTATGGTCATATTTTGGTCGATAAATATAAATAGAGTTAGGGTTGATCTTAGAGCTAAACCTGGTGCTAGATCATTAAAGAAAACAGTATGAGAATCCCACTTTCCCCAAGAATAGTTACAACAACTCAGTATTGGCAAAACTTAACTTTAACATCTTAGTTTTTACTAATATATTATCCATTCTTTCTCAGTTATATCACGTTATTATTCATTCATCCATTCTTCTGTCACTGTCAGCTGATCTGGTGTCAGCACTTAAATTATGTCTAATAAAAAAGTCAAAAATATGCACTTTTATTCAAGGTTTTCCGGCAGCACTAGAAAAAAGTTTGCCTTGACATTTTTATAAAACATAAAATAAGGTCTATTAAGCTTCAGGGAAAAGGAGCTATGGCGCTAACTCATAGCATAAGCCCCACGTTTCATCAGGGAAATGATTGTTAAATATTTCTTTGAAAACTACACTGAACGCGAGATCAGAAGCATCGAGATCCGTCTGACTCAGCTCAGCAGGTGATTGATGATTGTACATTCGCTTGGCAGAAATCAATCAGAGCAGCGTGGTGCAATGTCGGGAGAAAAGGACAACTTTTCCTGAGCTTTAACAATTTAGGAAAGTGGAGACAAACAGCCCAATTAGTCTCAATCAGATGGGGGTGTATGGATCACTGCTTCGTCTGCACACCATTGTATTAATCAAAACCTCAAACGAAACACAGGAACATCCTATCTTTCTCCCTCATGCCTTCAGCTCTTTGGATAGAGAACAATCACAGATCTGTGTGCCAGTGTAATTACTTGTATGGTTTAGGCGGCAGGATGCTGGTGAGTGTTTTGTCGAAGATCTTCTTCAGCTTGTTGCGTCCTCCCACAGAGTTGGACTTGGCCTTCTTGCTGACCTTCTCCAGGCCCATCACCTGCTCCACGTCCACCGCCAGGTCGGGGATGGAGTAGCGGCTCGCCTTCTTGATGTCTCCGATCTTTGGGAGGTGGGGCGCTCCGTTCTTTCTCTCGTGTTCCTCCTCACCGTCCAGATCATGGTCGTGTTCTGGCCTGGTGAGCAGATCTTTAAAAACTGGACAGAAAGGGAAGAGGAGACAAATAATTAGTAAGAGAACGTATTCAGAATTAGTAACGGAATAAACACTGTAAACACAGACTATAACGCTCCTTGTTGTTAACCACCAACTATGTGCAATATGTGCAATATATATATATATATATGCCGTTAATAACTGTGCAATATATACCTGGCTGCTAAATCTTCAGAACTGTTACAGGATGTGTTTTTTGTAAATTGTGTAACTTCTTTTATTATAATTTATTTTTATCTTTAATATTTCTTTTTGTATGCATGCTACTTAGGTAACATTAAGCTCTCTTCTGCTATAACGATGTACATTTCCCTTCTGTGTAATAAAGGTATTCTGATTCTGATTTATAAGTATGGACACAATTAACCCAGTCTCTTTATTTTAGCTTTCAAAGCACGTATGTCTCTTCTGTAATTATTAGGATCCTTTCTCTTGGTTGAAATGGCTCTCATTGATTTAATAGAATAGAATTGGGAGGGATGAAACCCTCGTTAATGGTCACACATGCAGAGCACACAGCACACAGTGAAATGTGTTCTCTGCTTTTAACCCATAGTACCAGGAGTCTAGTACTGGGAGCAGTGGGCAGCTATTGCACAGCGCCCAGGGAGCAATGGGAGTGAGAGGGGGGTGAAGGGGGGTATCCGGTGCCTTGCTCAAGGGCACCACGGCAGGGCAGGAGGTGAACTGGGACCTCTCCAAGTAGCAGTCCACACTCCGTATTTAGGACTGATCGGGGACTAGAACCGGCGACCATCCAGCTCCCAGTTCAAGCCCCTACTGACTGATCCACTGCCGGACATTTAATACACTAGTTCCGAATGCTTTTTGTGACATCATACAACTGAGCAATATCTACTTGCAAAGCTTACTGGTCACATTTATGTACCGGTTATCACAACTGAATTCACGAGAAGTCCGCAGATGCAAGTGTTGTGAAATCAGAAACTAAATGTTTCCTTTTCACTAGTCAAATAAAATATATTTTTAGCCAAACTCATGCCCAAGTGCATGAGAGACGGGCCTTCAATCATACATGAATATTCAAAAATAAATTAGCATTTTAAAGGAGAAACAGGTTTGAATATCGTGCCACCCTTCACATTTCCACATCATTCTAACAAGCTGTATCTTATAAATGTGATGCAACTTTACCTAAAAGGTTTGTTTTCACAGTTATGGACAAGTGTGTGTTGTTCTTCAGAATCTCGTTGGCTTTGTTGAGCTGCACATTCTCGAAGTTCTGCCCGTTCACCTCCAAGATCTGCAGGAGGAAGAATGAAGAAATAAACCCGGTGCATTTTAGCAAACAATTGGCAGAATACAACTTTTTACTCTGGAATTACAACGATACCAAATCTACCAAGGCGACCTCATTGTGAATAACTGCATGCCACATTGGATCAGGGCAGAAAGTGTTAAGCCTTGCACTAATGTTAATGTTCCAGGTGATGATCTCTGAACCACATCATTTATTCAGCGCACAAAGAGGAAAACCTCTGGCATGACATTTAGTCCAACACATGTTTTAAGACATTCATCTGAGCCATGTCTCCTTCAGATTGTCTTCACAGCTTGCCCTCTTAATAGGCCGGATATTTGCATTTTAACACAATATGCTAACCTCTGCCGCTTCCTTTTTAGTGGAAGTGGAAGTCACCTTTGACCGTAACATACGCAGAGACCATCCTCTGCCGCTGTGATGCAGGTAAGCAGTGACTTATTAGACCAAAACGTCTGGGATCAGCGGCGATTAGCGACACTACTTCACTACTTACAGTAAGAGACTTCTGCTTATGGCACGATGACGAAACAAATGGGACTAATACCACAGCTCTGCAGGGACAGGTTCTGAATGTATGATGATTGTAAGAGAAGCTGGTAAAAAGGTGTGTGTGAGAGAGTGAATGCTTCTAAAAGATGCCAGCTTCTCCGCTTCCTTTTGGGGAAACAGCTGCAGAGGATGTTTGGAGTCGAGAGGGCTTAGCTCGCATCCAGACACTCTCAAGATGGTTTCAAGGATTAAGGGACTTTTCTTAAAGCCCTGAGGACTGCAGAGTGTGAAAATGTTTGAGCAGTCAAGTCGCGAGAAGAAAGCCAAAGCCTGCAGCTACTGGCAACTTTCGAAAAAAAAACTTGTAATGGTAGTTATAGCAAAATGTAAAACCAATTTCACAACAAAAAATGAATTTTCAACACCAGAAAAATGCTCTATTCAAGTGCTGGTCTGTGTGACAGGAGTGAATGTTGCTCTCAATTGTAGCCTGAAGCCAAAAAGTGTATAACTTAAAGGCTATGTGCACTTTTCCTCCCTAGAGTCAAATATTTGAGTACACTTCAGACACTTTCTCACAGCAGAAGGAAGGTTTCTATGTGATAAATATCCTACCTGATCTCCACGCTTAAGGCCAACTTCTGCTGCCTTGCTCCCGGGCTCCACGGCATCGATGAAGACGCGGAAACCTTTCTCCTGACCTCCGAGGAGGGTGAAGGCCAGCGGAGAGTCCCTGGACGGCTTGGTCAGCGTCACCAGCCGCGGCTTGGCTTTAGCAGCACACGCTATGTTTAACAGTCTGAGGTGCCCACACATTTTCTGGAAGACAAAGAGGACACAGATGTAAGGAAAGTGCAATACATGGCATATTTGAAGTACATTTATTGAGTAATTAATGTGTAGGTTTTTTATACTTACTTCTTTCTCCAGATTGTTTTCAAACTCTTCCAGAAATTGAGTCATGGCAAGGTCACCCTCAAAGTCATTGAAGTGATTGTTTACCCACAGCAAGACTACCCGTGTAACCTGGAGGGATCACATGATCAGCACGGGTCAATAAACTGTTTACTGGTGGATTGATAGTTCATGCATTATATAGTTAACATCTGGACCTAAAATGTTTATGGTTCATGGAATATCTTTGCTAATGTGTGCCGGAGTACCTTTATTTTCATGCAAGCTATCAATTACTCAATGTGTGTGTTTTCAGGATATACACTCCATTTTTTCTTTACATCAGATATTCTATCAATCATTAATATTTGAGTTATGTCATCAGTTCATGAAGATTATCTCCCGTACCTTGTCCCTGAGGCTGGGGTCGTGGAACCACTCCAGGAGCTTCCTGCCCACGACCATGGGGCTGGAGAGGAAGGTCCTGTAGGTCAACAGGAAGTCCTCGATGTAGGTGGGGTCCACTACTGAGTGTTCCTCCACCAGGTGCATGGTGAGACGCTCCGATGTGCCCTGAGATTCAAAATAATGGTTTTATTTCTTTAGATTCCTTTTATTGTCACTACACAGAGTACAGCGGCATTCCCGATGGTGCAATCACACATAACGGACAGTATAAGTATCATTTTGATAATACAAGCTAGTGACTGTAAATTGGACCTATGATACATTGAACAGTACGCTTACAAAACAATACAACATTACCATACAAATACAAGAACAATACGTTCAAGGCAGTAACGAATGTAAAAAAGTCAATAAGTAACTTATTGCAAATGTATTTATCGGTGCAGTTGATGATTACAAAACAAAAAATAAATATGTGTTCTATAAAAAACAATCTTTCAAGCAAATTGGCGAGTACGTATCTGTTAGAATATCTAGCTGTCATTATTTGGTTGGCTGTTGAGTGACACTCCAATTTTAAATGGAAAATGTGAATTTGCTGAGCCTTGACGTGTTACCTTGATGACGATGTGTCCTTTCCTGGTGCCGGTTCGGTCTAGCTCGCGGTGCTCCTTCACCATGACGATCTCCCCTTCCTCCTCCACCTTCTGCATGTTCTTCTCCACCTGGTTGAGGATGCAGCAGTAGTCCTGCTGGGCTATGCACACAAACTGGAGCAGAGTGATAAAACACAGAGTTAGAGACGGGATGGAACATTTGACACAAACTATATGTATCCTACATGCTTTACAGTATTGGAGTTGTGTATAGTTTAAACATGTATATTACTGAAACAACATCTTCATTAATGGAAAATGACTACAACCGATAGATTACAAATGTATTCTACATAGCAACTAAACGATTGATGAATTATGAAAACAATGGCTTTTGCTGATTGGGATGAAACACTTTCTAATCCCAACCACTGAGTTCATCTCCTGACGATTAAATGGACAAATCAGTGTGTGTACTTTCACTACTCAGCACTGTTTTCCCATTGAACACATGATGCCAATAACGTGATCTTGCTCTTTAGATATTCTATTTCAAAATGGTTGTTGCTCACATTTAAGGGGAAGCCCTCGCCAAAAGCAAATTATAATATCATGAGTGCAAACATTGTCTGCATACACTGGATCACAGTGGGATTTAATATCATAAGATATACGACTTTGCCCACTGAGATGCAGATGAAATGGACTTTCTAACTGTGTGGTACCGTGCAGGATCGTTACGCTCCTACCTGGCAGTCGTCCACCTTGGTCTTCATCACGCCCTTCATGTACTCCTTCTCCATGGTGGGTGACACCCCGAAGCTGTTCCCCATACACAGGATCTCTGTGCGGCCCTCGGGGTACGTCACCTCCACCGAGCCGTTCAGGATCACCGACCACGAGTCCAGCTGGAGCGCAAACACAACATTATATTAGAACAAAGAACAGAATCAGTTCAGTTTTATTCCCAACAGCTGGTGTCACTTAACGAGTCAAAGTTATTTATCACAAAGAACCAGATGCACTAACTAGAACGGGACAGATGGTTTTTACTTCCCTTAGAGTGATACAGAAAAACAGGGATTGTTTAGAGCGGTCCTGCAAAACACGACTAGAATATGAAGATGACACTCGAAGCACGGCTACGAGAGAGAGTGAACTATAACTATTACTTATACTCTATACTTTACTTAAAGTACAATTTTAAGGTACTTTACATTCATAATTTCCAGTCTCTGATTGGTTATACTTCTACTCAACTACAATTAAGAGGCACATATTGTACTTTTTATTATATATTTGACAACATAATTTACTCATTACTTTTTAAAAATGGTTAGAGACCGCTCTATCTTTATATTCAAGTGATATAATATAAATATTCAGAAAAGGATATTTTTAATAATTGTACTTAATGTATATTTTGAAGCTTGTACTTTCACTTTAGTAACATTTTGAATGCAGGCATTTTACATGTGGCAGAGTATTTCTAAAATAGGGTATTACTATTTTGACTATAGTAAAATATTTGAGTACTTTGTCCACCTCTGGTTACAGGTAACACGTGCTTTATTGAAGTGGATAAATATCTAATTTCTTATCCTTTTGAGTATAATATAAAATAAGGATGTTTTGATGAATTCCTGAATAGCTGACATTTCACAGATTCCCCTCTTTCCCCCCGACAGCAACAATATGCTCGCTGAACCCTGCATTCTCTGTGACCGGACATTTACTGAAGTAGCTTTAAAGGAAAGGTCTGCTCTCTATTGTTGAGTGCATCATAGAAAGAAAAAAAAAAGCCAAATCGTCTTGAATGAAATTCCTGTCGTGTCTTGCCCAGACCGAGAGAGAATAAGTGATGCCTGCTTTAGTCGCCTGAGGGACTCTACATCAGGCCTGGCACTACAATGCGGGTTGTCAAGCATTCACATTTAATAGAGCAGATTAAATGGAAGATGAACGATTTGCTGGCGTGAAGGGGTGAGACTAGGGTTGAGTTCCCCGAGAGACACGAACACATATATAAATATAACTCAAGGCAAGTCACACGACAGGGCTTATGTTAGGGCTGCTCGATTATGGCAAAACTCATAATCTCGATTATTTGGGTCAATAATTGATATCACGATTATTAAAAACGATTATCCATTTACTTTGAAAACATCAATTTATTGGAGAAACAAAATTTGAACAGTATGTTTTTAACAGTTTATTACCCGAACTTTAAGTATAATTCAACTGAAAAACCAAAAAAAATAATGGTTTTATTTCGATTACGTTGTTTTCGTAATCGTTGCAAGCCATAATCGTAATTGCGATTAAAATACGATTAATTGAGCAGCCCTAGCTTATGTGTGCATGCACCAACACACACCTCCTCTCCATCATTGAGAACGATGGTGCCGGCGCGCTCCACCACAGCAAACACCATGACGGCGCACAGCTCCCTCCTCACTGACATCGTCATGTTGGCGAACGCTGGCAGCTGATGCATGAACTCCAGTAATTGCTCTGCACAGAGGAGAGACACAGAGGAAGTGAAGGACGATGAGAAATAATAAGAGTCTTAATACACAGAGGAGAGAAAGAGCACAGGCAGCCCTCAGTTTGAGCCAAGAAGGCACGAGCATCAACACGGATAATCACTACAGTGAAAGCCAACAGAGGAATCATTATCTGGTGCACATAAAACCAAATATCAATCCCATTGATATACACTTTCAAGGCGAGCCAGGAATAATCGCTGACTCCTCACTCAATGACCTCTGTTATTAAGTACACTGCTCCAAACAAAACTTCTCAGTTACTTTGGAGTTGGAAAAGGCTTGTGTGAGACAAAGGTGACTCGCTGTCAAAAACACATTGACAGTTTTGTTACTGCATATTTGTTTCATTAGCTCATAACAAAACAGTACAAATCAACAGCTTTACATTCCTTAATTTTCATTCACGGTGATTTCAATGATGTATTATATTTATATCAAAAAGGTATTTTATCATTCTCCAGGAAGTAACCATGCAGATGTCATTTTCTTTACATAGTTTGCAGCATTGAAATAAATATGCTTAAGGTTGCAAATGCAGTTATTCATTATCTGTATATAGGTCTCAACTTTAATAGACTTTTTCCTTTTATCTACACTGTATCTTTGCTGCTGATTTGCTATTAAATGTCCCTGCTGCAGGACATATGAAGGATTCCTGATTCTGATGATCTCAGTAACTGCTTTTGTCTTCACTTATTCAATCAGAAATAACTTGAAAAACAACCACCAATATCTTGTTTTATTTGACCTACAAACGATGTATTTGGTTCACTATTGATTATGACAAAGAAAGCTTCACATGCAATGTCTGTCGTTTTTGCTGACTCGATGAATCAATTATTCACATACTCGTTACTCAGGATAATCCGTGGATTTCACAGTGAGCAGTTTTCACAGTGACATGTTCTCTCAGTAGAAAGTTATTTTAATGAAAACTGTCACAGTGAGATTTGTGGAACAAAGAGCGCATCCCAAAAGACAAGTTGCTGTTCATTTCTTTCTTCTCAAATGTTGTATCCATTGTTTCAAGCTGCATATACTCAATTATTTATCCTGTCCTTTGTACTGGAGCGGTGGCACATATTTCAAAGCAGGCACGGCACATCAAACCAAAACTTCTGTACTGTATATGTGCACGGTTAGAAAGTAAGAAAGAATGCTGGGTATTTCGGTGAAGAGCATTAATAGTCGGTATTTCACTGGGTGTGTCGCCGAGGAAAAAGCTATATGTTATATATATATATAATGTAGGGCGCGAGACATTCTGCAGCACCCTACATTGGGGTCTAAAGTAGGAAAATACCCCTTTCTCTTCTTCTACTAACCAAAGCAGCCGTCTGGCGTTCTGGCTGACCTGTGCTTGGCATGGCAACAGCCTCGTGTGTGAAGCTGCGGATGCTCTGAAACTTTAATGTGCTGGGAGAGGTGAGGCGAGAGGATGTGCCGGAGTGACCTAGAAAAGCCTGGCGGCGAAGGGAGGGGTGTACCGCGGGGGGATCAGCGGGAGGGAGGGGGGGAGAACGGTTGGCACTCTGAGCATCATCCTCCCCCAGTCCACATCTGTAGCTCTGACCGTGTGAGCTTGTTTTCCTATCATTATCATTGGAGTTGAGTCATAGCTTTACGGGATATGATACTGCAGGCTTGATGAGGCTTTCAGAATGATTTGAAAGCGTACATCTCAAATGAGAGCGAAACAGGCTTCAGAGAAATGGAGATTTATGGTGACCGATTAAAAGAAAAAAGGAGGAGGGTGTGGCTTTTACACTGCGCTGAATTCATCTCAAATTGGGACAAGGAGAACTGTCCCAGCTGGGAAGAACACCGCCGGTGCAGATATCTTTAAAAAACACATTTTCAGGCATGCACAAAAAATAGATTGGGTGTTTTTAAAGGAAACACCGCATGGCAAACTAACTATAGTGCTACTGGAAAGCCTCATATAAACACTGTTGTTCGTGTTTTTTTCAGGTGCTCACCTATGTCATCGTCAGTTCTGTCCATGGGGTCTTTCTCCAGACAGTCCCGCACGATGTCCCTACTCATGAGGGGGTCCGACGCTCGCTCGATGTCCTCCTCATCGTCGTCTTCCTCGGAGTCCACAGCGGTCTCTGGCAAGCCGCTGAGGTCCATGTCGCCTTGTTCGTTTTCTGTGGCCTAGAAACAGCAAACACAAAAGAAAGGAGTCAGACATCTGAGATCAAAGTTCATCAAGGTGAGGGATTCGTTTTTTTCCATTCAACATCAGCAGTTGGGAAAACTACAGTCAATACACATATCAGCAAAGATCAGACGTCAATCTGTAGCCACGGCTTGGAGTGAGTCACTGAAGCACGTACAAACAATGCTCGGACAAACAATGCTTCAGATTGTCAGATAGACGCCTGAAAAGTGAATATAATAATGGGAGTTGCTGACTAAGCCAGTGAGCCAACTCGTGTTCATTTCAGAGAAAACACATTTGTAAACAGCCAAAAACAACAACTCAGTTTTAGAACGACAAAGAAACTGAGATCTCATATGCAAACACACTCACATTGCTGAAATCATTATACAGTACACACATCTGCTGTAACACTTCCAACAGATAGCATAAATAAAAAAAGACCCTCTGTAAATCTGTTGCAGATTTGACCCAGTTATTGAAATGCATTGTACGTGTTCAGTACCACAGTGAGAGAGAAAGACAGGCGTCAACACTGCACACCACAAAGTGTGCTATGCACAGTAACAAGCTCATTATCTCCCAACTTTCCTCTCCTCTCGCTCCCCTCAGCAAACTCCACAGCCTGCCTCGAAGTCACATCCTGTTCTTTGAAAGCACAAGATGAAATGTGTGCGGAGATGAGGACAATTAACCGAGATGAGGAGCGAAATAAATAACTTGTGCAGGAGTGATACTAACCGAGTCCCTCTGCAATCATCAAAGGAACCATTTCTTTAAACGACAGAAGGGCCGTATCGCCTGGTTCCTGCAACACGGCATTAACCAAAGCGGTTGAAGAAAGTACAACAAAGCATGAGTCGAGCTGCACCGCCACAGGGCAACATGACAACCTTCTCACCTGAATATAACGCCCAACGTCAAGCTTCTTAACAGAAAGAGAAGAAAATGTTGCCTTTACAAACTGTCCGCAAAATCCCAGAGCCAGACGCATCTTCACCTCCCAGTCTGGCAGCCTGCTTTTAATTTCTCAGAGCGCAGAGTCCAGGTCCTTCACAGAAACCCCTACATGATTTCCCCTCAAACGCCATGTGCAAAAGACTCATCAATGATTCACGCCAGTGTCTGAGTGGCCATCAGGGCGTCACCGGTGCACACGCCCTGATGGGTGGAGCCAAAGATCACAGAATAAGTAAGTATACAATACAAGCATCGCATCTTATCTCAAAATATAATAGGTGGATGCAGTGAAATAGTGTTAAAATGGCTGGGATAAACACTGACTTCAAAGGTGTGAACATGGAGGGACCTCTTACATACATTTGAATAGTATTCCCTGAGCACCCTTTGTCCCGAAACTACAGAGAGTTACATATTCATGTCCCATTTTCCACAGACGGACAGAGGACACTGTAGACAGGTTCACCACACAGCCAGTTTAATAGGAAACTGAAATGAGGTTTTGTATTTTCCTTCTAAACAGTATCATCTATAACACGCGGGCTGCATATACAGGTGTTGTATCTGTGCACAGGCTCGTTCTCGTGTCATATATGCATCAAAAATCCATGAATGTGCAGTAGGCATTACAAGACAGTGTGCAAGTCAGGTGTTGTTAATATTTCATCAGGGCTATTCTTGGATCAATGCTTACAAAGTCCTTCTGAAGGACCAACTTCATGATTTATTCAGAAAACAGAGCGCCATGTTGTCAGTGACGAGAGAGAATTGTGGAGATTAGAGCAGCTGTGGGGACTGGTGGTTAAACTATGTAACGCTCCTCATTAATAATCTGCCTCACCGATATGCACACTAACTCGAAAATTAAAACATAACCGCGTCATTATTTGTGCCGTCGACTCCCTGTGGTCTCAAGTGAAAAGACAAGGGCTCTGTTTTTTCAGAAAACACCTCCAGTGAAGACCACACACATTGCTCTTCTTCTACTAGGACACACACATAGTTTGAAACCCTGCAGGGTGCTAAGCTAACTGAAGCTAATGTGTAAAGTTGCCTAAAGCAAACAGTTAGGGGAGTCATGTGGGGACCCCAGGACAGTAAGAGTAACGCAAATCCTTTTCTACATTCTTAATGTTTAGGCATTTAGATTTGGTGTGCTGGTTATTAGTAGTCTAAAAGTTAGGGAGGGGGATCGTGAGAAGAAGCCCTGAATCCTGACTGATAAAAGTAAAAGTAAAAGAATATAAAACAAACTATATTTAATGTCTTCATCCTCATTACAGAAGTAGTGCTGCAGCAACTGCAAGCAAGATCAATCAGAGAGGGCAGGAGATGATTCAAAGGAGAGGGAAATGGAAACATTATGTATCATAGCCCACAGACACAGTAATACAACAAAAGTGACAAGGTCCTAAGCAAAAATAAACTGCTTTTTTAAATGAATATATTTTAAATGATCGTTTGATTTAGTTACCAGCCAAAAATAAATCTTTAAGATGAAAATACCAAGTTATACTGCAAATCCTCAAATGTGGGGTTATCATGGCAGCAAACGTTATGCGTCCTTTTGAAACACCTCTGAAATCACTCAAACCATTCAAAGACACTTGCATACCGATCCTTTAATAGGTACGACAGTTGTAGCCAAAGCACACAGTAAGCCACCAGTGAGCCGCGCTGAGGAGTTTGATCACAAGAGAAGGAGCGATAATGACATTGAGATTGATACACAAGTGAAGGCAAGGTGTTCGAGCAAGGTGTCGGGGTATACATAGCACTGAGAGAGAGAGAGAGAGAGAGAGAGAGAGAGAGAGAGAGAGAGAGAGAGAGAGAGAGAGAGAGAGAGAGAGAGAGAGCAGGTGCTGCTACAGGTAGATTAAAGGCTGTTAGAGTGGGGATCCAGCGAAGGAGGGTTGAGAGACTAGGAAGGAAACCACACAGTGTGTTTCAGAGAAAGTGAAATCAAGAGACACACTGAGCAGATGGCTGTAAGAGCGAGATCACAGAGCGAGGACAGAAGAGCCACACACACACACACACACACACACACACACACACACACACACACACACACACACACACACACACACACACACACACACACACACACACACACACACACACACACACACACACACACACCACACACACACACACACACACACACACACACACACACACACACACACACACACACACACACACACACACACACACCAAAGTGACTCTGACTGCCGCCCCTGTGCACAGTCACACAAATAGGAGCACAGCAGGTGACAGCGTGACGAGCCAATAGGGTGCGCACTGTGTGTTAAGAGGATTATTCGCAGGGTTTGGGGCACGTTCGCAGTCATGAGGTGTGTGTATGTTCATTTGGTCTTATTAACCACCTGAGGAAAGGGTAAGGTTGCTCAAATATGTGTACATCTTATTTATTCACTTAAATTATATTTATTAAAAGCTCCTTAGAACACAAGATGGTGTGTCTCATCTCCCTGGGAGGGCTGTCTTTCTGCTTTGAGATGCTGAGAGCAGAGCTGGAGGCCGGATGGAGGCGGGACCACCCGTTGAGAAGTGACAACGTCCTATTAGTGTCTCAGAGAGTCTGCCAAGCGTTTACTTTCTTTCCAGAATGTTTGTGTCCTACTTAATGAGACTGACCTGTGTTCCCAGAGGTATTTTTGTCATTTCAGCAAGGAGAGTCTCACCATCTTGGAATAATATGAGCTGGGCTTTAGTTCAACCTTCTTACTTAAAGTGGACCTATCATGCTATAATTGAAACATATATTGTAGGGCCATACCTATATAAAACATGTCTGTGAAGTTTTTTTTTCAAAATACCAAACAGATCATGCATTTTAGCCATGCCTCATTTCGCTCCATTTGCTTTTTTCCAGCCCTGTTTTTGCAAGGGCTGATTCTGTGACTACAGCGCCACTTACAGGCCTGGCATATGTACTACAGCGTCTCCAGCGCTTTCGAACGGTCTCTCATTCCCCTGATAGGTGGAGAGTTGCCCATATAGGCGGAGCACCCCTTTTCTGACATCAGGAAAATTCAAATAATAATCAGCTCCGTTGCAGCCCCGTTTTGAGAGATTTGGGTATGGAGGAAAAGAGAGCGGGTTGTGTTTTCTGACACTTGGTGAGTTCCCTGACACACCGGGGACACATATTCATGTATAAAAGACGTACAAAACTGCATTTTGCATGATAGGTCCCCTTTAATTTATCCACAAAAATAAGGTTAGAAACATCAGTGTTTTTATTTAATGTCCTTGGTAACGTGGCTTAGTTAGTGTCTGTGTAAATATATATAATACATATTTTATTATAGAAATCTAAAGCTAGCAGCTTGTTAGCTTAGCATTAGCACAAAGACTGGACAAGGCTCAGTGCAATGCTAACAAAATGTCCTATTAGCAGCACTACAGCTAATTTATAAGCAAGCTATATTTAGTCGGTTTAATTTGTAATGTTAAATGTTGATGTATCTCAGATAACCTAAGCTAAGCCAAACCGTTGTTGACAGAGGATTAATTTGTACTCTACAGACATGAGTAAAATCAAATGTACTTCCAGCTAGATACGTATGGAAATAAAATCAGCCAGAGAACGACGACCTTAGCCAGTTTATTCTCACATAAACTAACACACCTACTGCACTATTTATCCATGGGGGGGTCCAACCTGGGGATCCAGCCCCAATGGGGGGGCGTCCTTACCTGATAAATGTCTGACAGGCTGCTGCTTCCAGAGTCGCTGGTGATACTACATCCTGAGTGGCTGGAGGACACGCGGGTCACCTGTGGGTGCAAGCCGTCGGCCAGGTGAAGTCTGCTGAAGTCTGCGGGGAGCTGCACGTACACGGACACACACACACACAACATACACACAGATGGTCAGTATCAGCCAGCTCTGCAGCCACCGCTGGGGACTCGCGCTAACACTCGCGCTGGACGCTAGCCAAGTAGAGACACACTCAGCGACCTTCATTTTGTGTGAAGATATATTAGGTACTACATGGAAGTTATTATATTTCCCTTCGTTTATTACTCATTTGAAAGTGGACAAAGAGTCATTTTGATTAACTAAACAGTGTTTTTTTAAAGATTATATTGTATTTTTTGCCTTGGGTTTATACACAGACTCCTACTAATATTGTCCCTTTAATTATAATTAGAAAATACACTCATATTAGAGAAGATTGTCTTTACTCCACAGCTGTGATAATGCAATGTTAACGGAACAAAAGAATAACAATTAGTCCCACCGCAAGAGCTCAACTCTACATATAATTGATTATCAAAGCAAAGAAGATGTTAATTAAATCATCGGACTTACTAAGAATCAGAAGCTTTTATCAAGTTGAACACAAAATAGGAGCGAATAAAAAATGTAAAGGCATTATATGTCATCTAACATGTCTCCTTAAAGTCTTATTGTCGAAGTGAGATAATAACAATTCAAATGACATATTGCAGCTCCTAATACTTGTGTAATCAGTGGAACTTCTTAATATGAAGATATAAACCAAAAGGAAGCGCTGCCTACATCAAGGATGAAATACCCTCATTAAAGAAACTCTCATAACCTAAATAAGCACGAGGCAGTAATGGGGGAAGCCCCTCTGAGTTATTCATAGTGTATAAAGTAACAGAAAGCTGTGCTGTAATTAGCCACAGTGTACATGAGCCAACCCACTTTCTCTATGCAGATGACCCTACAATGTCAAATAGATCAGAAAGAAACCCCCTGCTGGTGGTTTACGATGATTAGAAGAACAAACTTAATGTAAACAACCATGTTTGAGGGTTATTTGAAGTACTGTATTTATATGTAGAGTAATAAAGGCCAACTATATTTTTTTTATAAGAGTATTTTCCACTTTTTCTGTTTTATATAATTAAAAGTTGGCGTTATGACTGTTTAAAACAAGGACATGTTTAACTATTTCCTGACACATTATCGACAAAGTGCTTATCACTTAACTGAGAACAAAATCCCCAAAATATAACAGTTATATTTAGTTAGTAAAATCAACATTTTAAAGAGGTTATAGGTACTTTTTCCACCTTCATTTAAATGATTAAATTAACCCTCCTGTTGTCTTCTTTACTACTTTGACACATTTCCCGCTCTTATGTGCCCATCCCCCAATATGGATCACACCTGGCACACGCAATACATGTTCAAAGTCTATTCTTTGTATATTTACTGCAGTTTTTCATGTACCAGTAGTCTGATACAATATGTACAGTTTGAAAGAGTGTTAAATGAAATTTGGTGATGATTAACGGTGTTTGTGTTAATGTAATAGCAGTTAAAACAGGACCGGTCAAATTTTACCGCGAACACCAAAGTAAGGGGGGGGGGAACGAAGACAATAGGAGGGTTAAATCATACCCATAATGATATTATTATTATTATTATTATTATTATTATGACTTAATCTCAGTATTAAGCTGTCTAAAGTCTCATATTAAATATAATAATGTGGTATCTGTAAATATTATGGTTAACATGTCATTTAAATGAATTAAATATGTGGTTTTATGTGCAGAACATAGTGTTGTCAAATGAAGCTCATGACATCTGACTGGAAAGCCACAGGGTGAATTATGAATTTAATCAAACTGTGTCAACCGGTTCATAGAGCCTATATATGTGAATATTTCATGGCTAAATGTTTTATTTACAAATATATATTTGATACTCAGCAGGGATACGGCCCAGAGCCACTTTACACTCGACTTCTGGCTGCAGCGGATCATCAATATTAAATTCTTTACACCCTAAAAGTCAAATGTGGCTGATTTATCTGGGTTGCTGCATTCATCATATGATATCAGAGAGTGAGTTCAACAGTATATTTACAGGCTGTTTGATTTCAGATCGTGGATCGTATAAAAGGATTTTGACTTATTTGAAATGTTTCTTCTAGATAGCAAAAACTTAACCCAGCTCTGATAGTAGATAAAAGCCAGACTATAAATGTCATTCGAAAATACTGAACTCTTCTCCAATAAATCCTGATTTGACACAGGAAAGATTGTGCAGTCAGTAGCCAGGCTTTTAAAATGTCCTAACGGAGGTAATTAGTTTCTCTGAAGAAAAGTCATCTGGGTGTCAGTGTCATCTGCGTCCAAATGCACTTACGCTGTAAATAACAACACTGCCTCAGATATTCCGTTTTTTGGGGAAAACAGACTCAACAGCGGCGACACTATGAAGTCTCACTTGGATGACAAATGGAACAGATCGGAGAGAAAACACATCTCGGGAAGTTAATTTGCAAGTCAATGGGTTTGAGGCATGATCTGCTCTTGAGCGAGAGAACGTCACAGCTTCTGAAGCGCTCGTCGGTTTAATTAAAAGAGCTTTGGAAAAATGGGGGGGGGGGGGGGGGTGGGGGGGGGGGGGGGGGGGAAGTGTTTTTGCTGGGAGAGATATCACAGAGAAAGTAGTAACAAAAATCTCAATATTCATGATTTTCCCTTTGAGAGAGAAAACTGAAGAGGTGTAGTGGCACTGAATTGATTTGGAAGAAGGTGTGACGAGATATTTGGAGAGCTTTCTGAAGAAGATAAAATAAGACTCACAAAGTGTCACTGACAGAGAGTGAGAGGCAGCTCCTGCAGCCCTGAGGTGTGATGTGACTTCACTGTGTCAAAGATTGCGATCACTTTTAATTATCTGCCTGGCTGCACTAACCAAAATGGTCGACCGGAGGGCCAGTCAGTCAGTCCCCCCCCCCCCTCCTCGTCTGAACGCCTCCAGCTGACTTCCCTGTTATTATTACCGGCCGGGCATTATTGTGTGAGGGTGACCAATCTCTTTGTCTGTGTGTAACTGCGGTGATAAAGCCTCATCACATTTCCTTCTGATGACTTTCGGGAGCAAAAGAGATTATGGTGCGGTTTATCACGGTCTGTTTGAGCTACGACTCACAATTTATATGTATTACTGGACATCAGTAAGCCCGCTGTGGCTTTGAGGCTTCATCTTTATTGGGAGAGGGACTACTAAAGCATTATTGGGTTTGTTGACAATAACACAAGTATTGAATAGCAGCGTTATCCCTTGTGGATAAAGAAGAATAAAGACTACCCTCCTGCACAATGAAAAAACAAACCTCAACGTCAATAAAATAGCTAATTTATTAACATATTTTAAACAATTTGGGTGCACTTTCAATGATTATAAGTGCACTGTGGGTTAAATTAATTAAACATTCTCATTATTGAGAGTACAATACGTGGTCATGTTGACTGTGAAGCCATATCGACTTGGTCTACATGTCAATAATAATATTCCCACTGGTTTCCACAACCAGCCAGAAAGGTCCCACCTCCTCCAAACAAATGAACGACAAACCCCACCCCCTTTAAGAGGGAGAGATAAAGGGAGGGCAGGGAAGCAGGATAAAGGGAGAGGATAATAAACACCTAATCCTTTCTCTCCACTCATTTAGGTCATCTGTCTGTCGCCCAATAAGCCAGGGTCCATTCAGTCTATAAGCATGTGGGCCAATGACCTCCTGCCAATGGCATGCAAGAGACTGAGCAAAGGAGGATGCCAGTACAATAATAATGACACACAGTCATGACTATTTTCCAATCTGCAGGACAAGGACACGCGTGTTCAGTGCGTCATTAACCCCGATCCAACTGGAGAGCACGCTTTTGTTTAAATCTATGAGTGATACGCTCACAATCAACCATAGCATTAACATGTGATCATGCTCCTACCTTGTCAGCCTTTCTGCACAGCTATGCTCCGAAATCAGTGCTCTCTGGCGACCGAATGAAGCGAGCTCTGCAGAACCGCGAGCCGAAATACGTACAATCAGCTGTCACCGGAGGATTAGGAAGCTCGAGCCACAACACTCCCCTCTGCCTACATGTGAGCAGATGTGGCGCTCCCTTAAATTACACTGTAGACCTAATGACCTAGATTGCTGGGTGGAAGCCCTTGGTGGCTCTCAATCTCTTTACTGCCTTCATATGCTGGGGGGGAATCTGTGCTGCTGCACTACATGTCCAATATTGGGGTTGGACAAGCTCCGACAAGCAACCATGGATGGTGTAAAAAAAATATTGAGATGTTTGAAAAACACCTTCGCCTTTGCACTGAAGGGAGTAACAATTCAATTGTTGGTTTACAAGGTTTGAATTATTGAGCAAAACATAATACCACAATGATTTCCAGAATCAAGCAGATAAAAGCGCCTGACGCTCTGCTGCTACTTGTGGGCTCAACTCTATCAACTTGTTAAGAAATGGAGATCTGCCAATGTCGGAAGGCTGAAGGATAGCAGAAACATCCCAGAATCTCCCATGTCCATGGTGGCAGCGTCTCTCTTTCCTGAGCCCATCGGATCAAGAGATTAAAACCCCTTTTGGCGGGGGTGTCTGATGAAATGGGCCTGATATGCTCTCTGGGCTTTCCCCTCCAGTGGCAGCTCCACCAGTCAGGGCCACAGAAACCAGCAGTCAGACACGAGAGGATGATTACCTACGATGGGGTATGCAGTCCACTAAATACTATCTTGCTATGTTATAATAATTGTTGTACCAGATGTACTTGAAGTAAGCTTTTCCTGCCTAACGAAGGTTGGTGGATGTGCGACAAATCTCCAGAAAGTGTGTTTGTTTACTTTGTGTTTATATCAAATCATGTTTTTAGCATGGTTCTAAAGAACTGTGTTAAATTATTGGCAGAGAGAAGGGTCTTAGTTAGTTGCCCCTTGTCACCATATATATTTGATTTGTTATCCAAGCCCAGCACAGCTAACACATTAGCACTGATGTCTTTTTACGTACACTATTTCAATTAAATGCTCAAAGATATGCAT